GATCTCCTCCCCCACCCCCATTTTCCAGTAAGCAAAATAGGTGCTGTATTGCTTGAATAAAAAAGAAATAATTGATATTTAATTATTTCTCAAGTATTTTTCATCATTTAGTGCAATACCGTAAAACATGAATAACACTATGGGACCCATATGAAGTGCTATTAGTGATGCTGGAAGTGCTCCCAAGAAGCAAAGAAGAGGCATGACATTATAGGAAAAAGATGAATTGCTTGATATATACCATAGATTGAGGTCTGCAGCTGTGGTTGCCTGCCATTTCAAGATAAATGAGTCTAGCATACGGACCATTGTTAAAAAAAAAAAGCAAATTCATGAAGCCATCGCTGCAACTATACCAACAGATGTGAAAACCTTGCACTTCTTGTGAAATACCTTTTTATCTTATGTTGAAAATGCAGCTTTTACGTAGGTGCAAGATTGCTGTAAGAAAGGCATACCTATAGACTGTAATATGATTTGTGAAAAAGTAAAGTCCTTATATAACAACTTAAAGCAAGAAGAAGGTGAAGGATCTAAAGATCAAGAATTTAATGCCAGCAAAGTATGGTTTGGTAATTTTCAAAACAGGTTTGGCTTAAAAAATGACCAGATAACAGGAAAAGCAGCTGAGGCAGACCAAGAGGCAGACCACAAGGCAGCTGATGAGTTCCCAGATGCCATTAAATCATTGGAGAGAGGAAACTAAAGCAAATAGTAGAAGGCTTGGTACCGTATAGAAACTATTTTAGAGAAATGAAAAACAAAAGACAGAAATTACAGTGTATTTCTATAACTGCATATACCTGTACTCCTGCCTCCCCTTCCCTTTCCTCCACCTAGTTCACCTCTGCCACTCCTGAGCCAGCAAGACAAGCCCCTCTTCTTTCTCCTCCTGAGTCTATTCAATGGGAAGACTATTCAAAATGATAATGAAGACGTTTATGGTGATCCACTTTCACTATTCCCTAAATAATCATCATGCCGTACAGTTAAACTAATTTGTATGTG